TTGCAAAGAAAAAACTCAGACAAATATAAGAAGATAACTATTTGCCAACAAATTAGATAACCTAAATGAAAAGGACATAAACCACAGAAACTGATGAGAAAAAACAGAAAGTCTGAATAGACCTATAACAAGGAAAAGTTGACAGAATTTCTTTAAAACTTTCCGCAAAGAAAACCCAGACTCAGACGGCTTTACTGGTGAATTCTGCTAAACCTTTAAAGAAGATTTATTTATTTTAAATATTTTACAAAAATTTCCCCAAAATATGAGGCCAGTATTTTCTAATGTCAAAACCAGGCAAAGACATCACAAGTAAGGAAAACTACAAGTCAAAGTCCTTTATGGCTATAGAAACAAAAGTCATCAACAAAACACTAGCAGACTAGATCCAAACATATAAAGGGAATTATCCACAATGACTAAGGTGGACTTAGCCAAGAGTGCAAGATTGGTTTAACATCTGAACATCAATCAATATAATACACTTTATTAATAGAATAAAGTACAGAAGTCACATGAACATCCGAAAAGATGCAGAAACAAAATCCAACTCCTTCTCATTACAAAATGTTTATCAAACTAGGAATGGAAAGGAACTTCCTCAACCTGATAAAAGGTACCTAGGAAAAACCAACAGTTATTATCACATTTACTGGTGAAAAACAACAGTTTCATCTTAGATCAGAAAAAAGAAATTTTGCTCTTGACACTTATTGCATTGCCATTGCATTGCAAATTCTAGCCATGGAAACTAGTCTGCAAAAGGAGATAAAAGTCATCCAGGTTAGGAAAGAAGTAAAACTATATTTATATTCAGGGGATATAATCTTATGTATTGAAAACCCTAAATAATCTACAAAAAAACTCCTTAAAGTACAAAGTGAGTTTAGCAAGGTTGCAGGGTACAAAATCAATGTGCAAAAATCAATTATATTTCTATACACTAGCAATGAACAACCTGAAAATGAAATTATAAAACTATTTCATTTATCATAGCATTAAAAAATACTTAGGGGACAAATTCAACAAAAGAAGTGGAAGAGTTGTATACCGGAAAATACAAAACACTGTTGAAAGTAAAGAAAATCTAAGTAAATGGAAAGAAATCCCATGTTCATGGACTGGAGAACATAATTTGGTTAAGATGGCAATATTCCCCAAATTGGTCTACATCTTCTCATATTGAATGTAATGCCTATCACAATTCTAGTTTCTCCCCAGATACTGGCAAAATGATCCTAAAATTCATATAGATTTAAAGGTCCAAAAATAGCCAATTTTAAAGAGGGAAAAAAAATATTGGAAGACTCATTGTTTCCAAAATTTAAATTAATACAAAGCTACAGTAATCAAGATAGTGTAGTCCTGTTATAAAGATAGACATATTGCCAAGATTAGTTAATGGAGAAAAGTAGTATTTCAAGAAATGGTGTTTGAATGACTGGATTTCCCCATGTACAGGAATGAATTGCACCTCTTCCTTATACCATACACAAAAATTAACTCAAAATGAATAGATCTAAATGTCAGAGCTAAAACTATGAAACTCTTAGAAGAAAACATTTTATTGAATATTTGTGACCTTGGATTAGACAATGGTTTCTTAGTTATGACACGAAAAGCACCAGTGATAAAAGAAAACATATTTAAATTGGGATTCATCAGAATTACAAATTTCTGTGTTTCAAAGGACACCACTGAGAAAGTGAAAAGACAATCCATCGAATGAGAAGAAATGTTGCAAAATATATATATTTTAAGAAACCTGTATCCATAATAAATAAAGAACTACTTATGTATCAGTAATAAGAAGATTAATAACCCAATTAAAATGGATTTGAATAGATATTTCTCCTGAAAAGATATACAAATAGTCAATATGCACATGCAAAAATGCTCACCATTATCAGAAATCAGGGAAATGAAAATCAAAATCACAACGAGGTACTTTTCACCTTCACTAGGATGGCTAAAATTTTTAAGAGAGACAATAACAAGTGTTGACGAGAATGTATAGAAAAGTGGAATCTTCATACATTGTTGGTAGTTGTAAAATGGTGCAGCCACTTTACATGGAAGACATCTGGAAGTTCCTCAGAATATTAACTGACAGTTTCACTACTATGCTATACACAAGAGAAATGAAAACATATGTCCACACAAACATTTGTACTTGAATGTCCACAGCAGCATTATTAATAATGGACAAAAGAGTGGAAATAACTAAAATGTCCATTAACTAGTGGATAGATAAACAAAATGTAGTATATCCATATAATGGAATATTATTTGGCAATATAAAGAAATTAAGTCTTGATACATTCTGCAACATGGAAGAACACTGAAAGCGTCAAGCTAACTGAAAGAAACCAGTAATGAAAGACCACATACTATATGATCCATTTACACGAAATGTTTAAAATAGGCAAATCAATAGAGACATAATGTAGATTAGTGGTTACCAAGGGCTGGGGGGAGAGGAGAATGATAAGTGATTATTAATGAGTATGTGGTCTTTTTCTGGAGTAATGAAAATATTCTGAAATCAGATAGTAGGGGTGGTTGCAAAACACTGAATATACTAACACCACTGAATTGTACAATAAAATAGTATGAATTTCATGGTATATTAATTATATCTCAATAAAGTTGTTAAAAATGGTCAATTCATCAAGAGGACACAACAGTTTTAAATAACTATATGTCTAATAAGAGTTTCAAAATACATGAAGCAAAAACTGATAGAACTCAAGGAGGAATAGATAAATCTACACTTACAGTCAATAGTTCAGCATTCCCTCTCAATAGCAGATAGATCCAATAGACAGAAATAAGTTAGGATATAGAAGACTTAAAACAATATCAAGCCACTTGACCTAATTGGCATTCGTACAACATTCCACTCAATAACAAAGAATAAACATACTTTTCAAGCATATCCAGAGACTTTCAAACATAAAATGAATCTCAAAAAATTTGAAAGGATTCAAGTCCAACATAGAAGATATGTTCTTTGAATAAAATGTAATCTGATATCAGTAACAGAAAAATATCTGAAAATTCCCTAATAATTGGAAACTAAATGATCCGTGAGTCAAATAAATCAAAAATAAAATTAGGATGTTATTTTGAACTGAATAAATAAAAACATGATCTATCAAAATTTATGGAGCTAGAGGAGTATTTAGAGAAAAGAAAATAGCACTAAAATGCTAGTATTAGAAAAGAAGGAATGTCTCAAAAGCAATAACCTCTACTTTCACCTTAAGAAACTGGAAAAAAAGAGCAAATTAAATTCGAGGTAAGCAGAAGAAAAGAATCAATATAGATAAGCATAAAAATCAATTAAACTGAAAAATAAATGAAACCCATAGCTTATTTTTTTGTGGAGGTTAACAACAATGATAAACATTTATCCAGGCTGGTCAGAGTAAGAAAGAAAGAACAAATATTACTAATGTTAAGAACAAGAGAGATGACATCAAATATTACAAGGATAATGAGAGATTATTATGGATAACTCCATGACAGTAATATGACAATTTACGTCAAATGAAAAATGTTCTTTTAAAGAGATAAACTTCTAAGGTTCAATCAAAAAGAAATAGATAAACTTAATATCCCTGTCTATTAAATAAATTTAATTTACAGTTAAAAACTTTTCAGCAAAGAACACTGCAGGTCCAGATGGCTTTACTGAAAAATTCTTTCAAACATTTAATGAATACATGATACCAACTCTCTTCCAGAAAACTGAAGAGCAGGAAACACTTCCCAACTGATATGAAGCCTTCATTATTCTTTATGGCAAAACTAGAAACATTACAAGGAAAGAAAACTACAGAACAATATCCCTCATGAACATAGATGCAAAAATTCTTAAAATTTAGCCAATCAAATCCAACAATATAGTTAAAGGATACTATCTCACAACCAAGTGTGTTTTATCCTTGAGTGCAAGATTTATTTAATGTTTGAAAAATAATCTCTATAAGTTACCATTTTAAGAGACCAAATGATCACCTCAATAAATGCAGAAAATGTATTACATAACATCCCACATCTATTTCTAATAAATATTCTCAGGATTCCTACCACAATGAAAGGAAACTTCCTCATCCTCATGAACAATCTATAGCTGATGTCATACTTATTGGTGAAAAACCAAAAATCAGGTCCACCACTTATATTCAACATTGAACGGGAGGTTCCAGCCATTCAACAAAGCAAGAAAAAGGCATTCAGATTGGAGGAGAAATAAAAACTATTTGTAGATGACATGATCATCTATGTAGGAAATCCTATGGAATGTATAAAAATTATTTTTGAACTATTAAGTTTAGCAGGATTTCTTGATGCAAGGTCAGTTTATTCAAATCAATTTTATTTCTGTAGACTAGCAACAAACAATAAAAAATTAAAATAAAAATACCATTTCTAATATCATAACATATTAAATGATAAATTTGTCAAAATGAGCAATATCTGTACATTAAAAACTGTAATACGTTCCTGAGTGGGGGAGAAATAAATTGTGCTCATAGATTCAAAAACTTGGTATTGTTGTAATGTTTATCATCACCCACTCACACAGAAAGCCTGTGATTGAGGATTGTACTTTAAAAGGCATAGCAATAATAATCAGAAATTTAAAATTAATTTCAACTTCATTTCTTGCATTTTAAAAAAGATTCATAGGGCTATCAGTTATTTTATCAACTCCAGAGTGATATGAGACAAAAGTTTACAGCACTGACCATTTTGACAGATTTGAAGAGTCCACTCAGGAAGAAACCAATTCTCCTCTCTCAAAATAGTTGAGTTAGCTTCTTCAACTGAATAGATTGACGAAGCCTTAATTATGGCATTTTTATACACTGCTCTGGTTTTCCTAATTTGCAACAGAGATAACTAAGTGCAAAAAAGTGCTTGCAGAGTGTCGTATGGAAAATTAGCGTTAAAACACAAACTTTATCTAAGGTATCTAATTCACAGCCTTCTAGAACATAGTGGGTCATTACACACTAGGCTAAGAAATCAATTTTATAGACCAGCATCAAAAAATAGAAAATACAAAGAGTGTGAGTATAGTAAAGGTACTATTTTGTGATACGTTTGTTTCAGTTTTGTGTATGTGTGTCTGTGTGTGCACATACTGGGTCATGAGGTAAAATGTATTTCTTTTTTTAATATTCACAAGTTTGTTTTATTTTTAAGATTCCACATAAAACTGATAACATACAATATTTTTATTTCTCTGTCTGACTTATTTCACTAAGTCAATACCCTGTATCCTTTAAATGTTGGATTCCATTTTCTAAAGTTTTGTTGAGGATTTTCGCATCTGTTCATCAGTGATACTGGCCTGTAATTTTCTTTTTTTGTGTGATATCTTTGTCTATTTTGGTATCAGAATGATGCTGGCCTGGTAGAATGAGTTTGGGTGTTGCTTCCTCTGCAATTTTTTGGAGTAGTTTGAGAAGAATAAGTGATAACTCTTTTTAAAATGTTTAGTAGAATTCACCTGTGAGCCATCTGGTCCTGGACTTCTGTTTGTTGGAAGTCTTTAAATTACTGCTTCAATTTCATTACTGGTAATTGGTATTTTCATATTTCCTATTCCTCCCTAGTTCAGTCTTGGGTTACTGCACACTTCTAGGAATTCGTGCATTTTTTTCTAGGTTGTCTATTTTATTGGCGTATATTTGTTCATAGTAACCTTTTAAGATCCTTTGTACTTCTGTGTTATTGGTTGGAATTCCTCCTTTTTCATTTCTGATTTTATTGATTTGGGCTTTCTCTCTCTCTCTTTTTTTTTTTTTTGATGAGTCTGGCTAAAGGCTTATCAATTTTGTATATCTTTCAAAGAACAAGCTCTTGGTTTTATCGATCTTTGCTTTTTTTTTTATTTTAGTCTCTATTTCATGTATTTCTGTTCTGATCTTTATGATTTCTTTCTTTCTAATTTTGATTTCTAGTCTCACAGTTTTGTGGTTGGAAAAGATGCTTGCTTGATATGATTTCAATTTTCTTGATGTTACCAAGGCTTGTTTTGTGGCCTTGCTCATGATCTATCCTGGAGCATTCAGTCCATTTATATTTGAAGTAATTATTGAGATGTATGTACTTACTGCTATTCCGTTGACTTTGAATTTTTTGTAGTCCTTTTTTGTTCCTTTTTTCTTCTTTTATTCTCTTCCTTTGTGATTTGATGACTCTCTTTAGTGTTATGTTTGTATTCCTTTCTCTTTGTGTGTGTTGTATCTATTATAGATTTTTGGCTTGTGGTTACCATGAGGTTTATATATAGCAATCAATATATATATATGATTATTTAAATTGCTGATTTTTCCATTTGAAACACAGTTTAACAACTTTGCATTTTTATTTTCCTCCTCTCACAATCAGTTTTTGATATCATTTTTTACATCTATTTGTTTTGTGTGTTCCTTAACTGCTTACTGTGAATATAGATAATTTTACTACTTTTCTTCAGTCTTCTTTTGAAGGGGATAATTTTACTCCTTTTGTCTTTTAACCTTCCTACTAACTTTGTACATAGTTGACTTACCACTTTTACTGTATATTTGTTTTTATCAATGAGCTTTTTCCTCTTGAAAGTTTCATGTTTCTTATTATGGCTTTTTCTTTTTTGCTTAGAGAAGTCCCTTTAACATTTCTTGTAAAGCTGGTTTTGTGGTGCTGAGCTCTTTTAGTTTTTGTTTGTCTCTAAAACTTTTGATCTCTCATCAGATTTGAATGAGACTTGCCAGGTATAGTACTCTTGCTTGCATGTTTTTCCCTTTCATCACTTTAAATATCATGCCTCTCTCTTTTGGGCCACAGAAAGTCTGATGAAAAGTCAGCTGATAACCTTATGGGTGTTGCCTTGTATATAACTTGTTGCTTGTCCCTTGCTGCTTTTAATATTCTCTCTTTATCTTTAATTTTTGTCATTTTAATTACAATTTGTCTTGGTTTGGTCTTCTTTGGTTTAATGCTATTTGGAACTCTGTGGTTTCTTGACTTGAATGTCTATTTCATTTCTGAGGTTAGGGAAGTTTTCAGCTATTATGTTTTCAATATGTCCTCTGCCCCTTTCTCTCTGTTCTCCTTCTGGGACCCCTATAATGCAAATGTTAGTAAGCTTGATGTTCTAGAGGTCTCTTACACTGCCTTACTTTCTTTTCACTCATTTTCCTTTTTCTGTCCAGCTTCAGCGATTTCCACTACTCTGTCTCCCAGCCCACTGATCCTTACTTCTGTATAATTTAGTCTACTGTTAACTTCTAGTGTATTTTTCATTTCAGTTATTGTATTCTTTGTCTCTGTTTGATTATTCTTTATATTTTCTAGCTCTGCTACAAACTTCTAACTTCTTTCTCTGTTCATTCTTCTCACAAGTTCTTTGATCATCTTTACAATCATAACTTTGAACTCTTTCTTGAGTAGATTGCCTGTCTCCACTTCACTTATTTCTTCTGGGATTTTGTCGTATTTCTTCATCTGGGACATTTTCCTCTGACATCTTGCTTGGCCTAACTTGCTGCTTTTATTTCTGTGTATCTTGCAGGTTGGTTATGTTTTCTGATCTTGAAGAGATGGCCTTTTGTAGGAGACTTCCTATATGTCCCAGCAGCACACTCCTCTCTGGTCACTAGCATTATCTACTCTAGGGGTGCCCCCCATGGGCTGTAGGGGTCTGTCTGTCTGTTGTGGTGGGCTGACTACTGTTGGCAGTCTGGTAGGTGTGGCTGGTCCCCGGTCCTGTTAGTTGTCAGGCTCTGCCTTGTGTGGAGGCTGCTGGCCACTGGTTGGCAGGGCCAGGTTATGAGGCAGTTGGCTGCAGAGCCCTGGGGTGCCCTGAGGTTATTGTTGGCTCACTGGTGGGTGGAGTTGGGTGTCCAGGAGACCTTGGAACTGGTACCCACCCACCAGTAATGAGCCAGGTCCTGGGGTTAGTGCTGGCCCACTGGTGGGCAGATCTGTATCCTGGGGTCTGGTCGTAGGGCCAAGGAGTCCCAGAACTGGTGTCAGACTGCTGACAGGTGCAGTTGGTTCCTGACATGGCCTGCTGATGGGTTAGCTGGGTCATGCCACGTCAGGCTGTGGGGCTGCAGCTGTCCTGGGGCTGCTATCTGCTGCTGGTGGGTTAGACTGGTCTGGAGGCTAGAGAAGGCTTACTGGTGGGCAGGGCTGGGGCCCAGGGGATTCTGGGGCTGCTGCCTGTCCACTGGAAGGAGAGCTGGGTCCTGGGGTCTCTGGCTGCAGAGACCTTGGAGTTCTGGGTCTCGTTCCTGCACATGAGTGTGAGGCCATGTCCTGGGCCCTCTGGTGGACAGGGCTGTGCCCAGGGGCAGCTGGGTTTAGAGTGTCTTAAAGCAACCTGATGGCTGGTGGATGGGGCTGTGTCCCCACCCAGTTAGTTGCTTGGCCTGAGGTACCGCAGTACTGGTGCCTGCAGGCTGGCAGGCTAGAGAAGGGCTGGGTCCTGAGGCTAATAAGCTAGAGGGAAGATTCCAAACTGGTGCTTGCCAGCATCAGTGTCCACATGGTAGAATGAGCACCCCATAATGACTGCTGCCAGGGTATATTTCCCTTGGGTGAGGTCCAGTTGCCTGTTGTCTCTCCAGGAAACTCTGCAAGATCAGCAGATAGGTCTGATCTAAGATCCTTTCAATTACTGCTTCTTCCTTGAGTCTAGAGTGTGTGAGATTTTTGCGTATGCCCTTCAAGAATGGAGTCTCTATTTCCCGTAGCCCTCTGAGTTTCCTGAAACTAAGCCCTGTGGCCTTCAAAGCAAAATGCTCTGAAGGCTTATTTTCCAGTCACAGGATTCCTGGGCTGGAAAGCACAATGTGGGTCTCAGACCCCTTGCTCCTTGAGGGGAACCTCTGAAATTGTAATTATTTTCCCATTTGTGGGTAGCCGACTCAGGGCTATGAGTCTTGACTGTATTACAACTCTGCCCCTCCTACCTGTCTTATGGTGGGTCCCTCTTTATATCTTTAGTTGTAGAAGATCTTTTCTGGTAAGTTCTGATCTTTTTCATTGATAGCTTTTAGGTACATAGTTCCAATTTTGATGCGCCCATGAGAGGAGGTGGGCTCAGTGTCCTTTAACTCTGCCACCTTGGGGATTTCCTCTAAAATGTATTTATGTGTGCTGTGGTAAAAAAAAAATGTTTGAAAAGCACTGTACTAGTGCTTCTTGTTCCCAAAGGTATGTTTGAAAATGTATAACTTAGTTCAGACCAGGTGCAACAAACTAATACTTAATGTGTATTTACTGGATAGTGCCCAATAAAAGAGAACACCTTAAATGGTACTCTGGGAGGCCTAATGTAAAAGACTTGAAAAATGTTTTAAGATCTCATTGCAGAGCTATCAGTTTTCCATGGCATTCAACATGTTGGTGAAAATTGAAATATTCATCCATAAAACCCCAAATCTGTGACTAAAATTCTAAACGACTGATTCAATTTTTCCATCTTCATCTAAACATTTGTTTCATGAAACAAAGATATTGCTACAGATAAACTGATACTCTTTTGAGGATTGCTGTCCGATTCCAAATAATGCTGGAATTTCATTATTTTTCCCTCTTAGATTTGCAAGAGGCATACACTCAACTATTCTCTTAGGCTCATTGTATACAACATAATGTGCAACTCATTAGTGATAAGAGAAAATTAATTCTATATTTGGAATTAATTCATCTCCCTCTTCCTGCCAATTCATCTTGACTTGCGGGGAAATAGTAAAGAACCAGGGAGAGACATGCTGTGCAACCTGCCTTCAAGGGGATAATTAATTCCTGGTCTTTGATTCCTAAATTCCTGCCCATAATCAGAGGCAGAAAAAAACACTCTTGGGTGCTCTGGGCACCCCACACCTGCTCAACATGTAAGCTCATGTTTCTAATTAACTTTAAGAAGGCTTTAACATATCCCTTTGCTGAAGTAGACACCATGCAAAAATGCCTTCTAAACCTTTCCCTTTCTTTCTCATGTCCTTCTCAGTTACTCTAGTCATCCCCTCTCCAACATTTAGAATCTTCACATGGCCCAGCCTCACCATCTCAGGGTGTTGAACAACCTATCAGATTCCCTTGAGACCTTTTCATTTTCCATCAAAACTGACCTGTGCTATGTGTCATTATTCTTAGACTTCTGTTTTCTGCTGAATGATATTGAGTGGTAATTGGTTTTCTGGATAAGTGATTAATGAATATGAAAATTAATGAGAACAGTCCTGCTCAATTCCAAGTGCACAGCTCAAATGATTGGTGCTATTAGTAGAGTTATTATCTACTAATTCTTCAACAAGGAGAGCCAAATGTGCCTTATTGCCAGAGCTGGTAGAAGATGCAGAGGGCGTTTCATGGGAGAATGGGGACGAGCACTCGTGTTGTAGGGGAAGTGATTAACTCTGGATATTCCTTTCATTGGGTCCTTAGCTACTCAGCTGACAGTTGTGCCTCAGATACTACTCAAGTGACTGCTTGATGTAGCTGAGTCAGTAGTCCTGGATTCTGTCTCTACTTTGTAAAGGGCCTACATGAATCTCTAATTCCTTTTTACTTACTCATCTGGTTGAACTAGATAGTTACTGTTCCCTTCCAGCTCTAAATGTCTGTGTTCAGA